ATTATGCAATTATGGAATCATTATTTCTAGCCGCCACTAAACTGATCCAACTCAGGACTTTACTTGTATGGAGTTCTAGGCACCAGCTTAACTCATTTATCACGCCATGTACTTCGCCACATTGCTTAGAGGAAGCCCATATCAGCTTAAATGAGACTTATAGTTCTCGATATGCCTTGGTCTTTCAAGGGACTTGATTTACGCCCCATAAAGGGATCGGTGCAATATTAATGCTTTAAAATTAAAACGATATTCATATTTTTGACTTAATTGCCAACCTTTTGAATATTTTAGCATATGCCCGACATTAAGATAATATCAAACCAGCCATCTCTTGCTCTTGAAGAAGCAGGTCCAACAGCTCTAGCTACAAGCGACCTTTTGGCACCAGAAGAGGTTTGTCCTCCCCGAGGAGAACTCCTCAAAGGAAACAGTGAGGTTACAAAAACAGATAAAAGAAGACATCGAAAAAAACTCATGCGACAACGTGCAGGACGCCGGACAAGCAAGAAGCCTCAAACCGAAGATTTGCTAAGAAGAGACAAAGCTTCCGCAATGAACCGTATTATACGTCTGGCCCATAAACCCGGTTCAAAAATCAGGATTGTTAAATAGAAGTGAGCAAATAGTGGATTTATATGCATAACAGTTTGTCAGCTTTCCATATCCCCCCAGTCGCCATTGACCTACTGATTTGAAATTTCGTCTTAATTTACCCGACGCCCCTTACGTTTACGTAATTCAGATTCTGCTAAGTCTAATCATGTAAATTAATTCATAGGGTGTAAATTGCCCCTAGTTGTCTGACAATATAGCTTTCCAGGAGAGGTGTCATTTGAATTTGTTTTCGATATGCGGTCTGAATTTCATCAGCACGGCAACAACAGCGGCCGATTAGCGTAGCAACCGCGCCATCTAATACGCTGGATAAACCAGACTCTTCGTCTGTCTTTATTGTGTGTCTTGGGACTAACGTAAAAAACGCGTTCGATGTCCTTTTGGTATTGTGCCGACCGTTATTTATTTCAACTTAATTGATGCGTACATGTGCAACAGGGACTCGACAAAAAATAAGAACACCTCTGTTAATTGAACCAGTGTTCTCCAGACCAATTTGGCATCTTGTCTGGCATAAAGGATAGGAAGACCAGGCATTTCTTAGCGGCGTCTCGTCGGCACGAATCAATGGAGTCCGAAGCCTTGCTACGAAGGACAAGGGGAGGCACCGTCGATAACTGCACCAAGCAATAGATCTTTTCTAAAATAAAAACGACAAGTTAGTTATTTAGCGGTAAAATCTGGTTTAAGGAAGAACTCAGCCATGTAATATAAACTGAAAAGCCTGACCGCATTATTCACCTGATGGGACTTGTTGTCTAGACCTACGTGTGATTTCTCGTCGATGATAGTATTTCGATTTTTATTTGATTGGACAATGAAGAGCACAGAGTGGAAGCGACAAAGTAGGTTATTTCACTTTCAGAGTAATACTGACACCTATGCAAAAAAGCAATCGTTAACTTTTAGGCATGCTATCTGGATCCATATTGATTCATTCTTACTTGCGGTAAGAGAGTGCATCAGAGCTACTCATTATTTTAGACAGAATCACTATTTAGAGGAATCCCTTGATAATTTAGCGGCTAGGTTTGTTGAAGGTGATTCGTGCATTGTCCCATCGGTAACAGACGAAATAGCAACTTCTTTATGTGCAAAGGAGTGATTAGCACACGGACTCCGAGGAATGAATGCTGAACTTCTGTCTATGATAGACAGTTATCGTATTAGGAAAGCCTGAACCGAGAAAAATAGCCGGTTGCCACCGTACTCATTTATTGGCTTGTAAGTCCACATTTTAAACAGTAATTGGATCAGAGGCTCGTTCGATTTAAGAATTACCCAACGTCGCTACGGCGATATTTATGCACATGGACAAGAGTTCGCTTTTTAGTTTGAAAAGGGCGATAGGTTATCATTTCAGCTGCCTTGATAAATGAGATAGTAAAGCTAGGTAAAAATGCATTTGGAAAACTTGCAAATACCATATTCTTTTTTAGACATACGTCTAGTGGCAAATTATAAGTGGGTACGATCGAAAACAGGAGATAGAAAGTTGAGCATAAGAACCACAGTTGGTCCATAATGTGGCCGTTCGCGACTTCATAAAAATGGGGAGATGGGGTCAATGCAGAATGAGCCAACGCCTACGATTTAAGAGGCTTCGGACTTCCTTTCCGAACAAAAATAGCACTATTTCCCTAGTATTCCAAAGTTAGGATAGACTAAAGCATGGAAATTATATGAAGCTGTCGGGTAGATAGAAAAGAGTAAAGGCTTGGTCGATACTGAATGACCTACAGAAAGGGTGGAACCACGAACCTACGCACGCGCCAACACTGAGGTAAAAAAATAATATCTGTGTCCGTGATTAAATTCGCGTCCTCTTGGTGTGCCTAACTTGTTTATCCTCAGGGCGAGCGTTACATAGCTAACCAAATCATTGGATGTCTCATTAAGGTGACGAAATCAGATATAAGAAGCATCATCGCAGCCGGCCACCCTTCTTGTCTTAGCCTATTGGCAGTTTTTGAGTAAAGGATGGCTTAGGGCTACGACGATGCTTGTCACAAAGAAGACAAAAGCTCAGCTCGGATAAGCAGGTCAGTAAGCTTCTTTGTCCAATCACGTAGCCATAGTGTAAGGCCGCAACT